TTTTAGTCTTAGCAACACTACAAATTTCGCCTTTTTTGACAAAATAACCTCGATCAAATCTCGCTGCTTCAATCCATCCCTTTCTTTCTGATTTGCCTACCTAATTAAGTAACCGATGATACGACAAATAGAGGTGAGCTGGCAAACTTCCAAGCTTTACAATGCGGTTAGAGTTTACCTTACAGTTCAAACAAAATGTTTGTTCTCGTTCGGGTAGAACTACAGGTCCCATTCTTATTGTTCACTGCCAGATTCTTTCGTGTTATTGCAGAGATGCTATAATTATAGATTATGCTAACTAAGTTAGATAAATATTGGGGAAAAGCAGGAATGTCTTATGTCACGTGCAATGGTATTGAAAACGCCACTTGAACCCACGCCCCACAGCTAAAATATTACAAGGAACTTAAATCAGATAATTACAGATAATTACAGATAATTACAAAATTATCCAAATATTTCTCACGCTAGCAGGCTTTGCTGTGAATTTGACCTCAATGTTTTTCCTGGATGGAAAAAAACATTGCATCATCAATTTAAGTTTTTAAGCACGCCTTTGATAACAGCTGCATAATATGCCAAACTTATGAGGTAGCATAATTCTATATTTGCCTATGCTATGCATCATTGCTATGTCACATCGTTTTATGTAAAAACTATTTCGAGATCATCAGGGAAGGGGGTTAATAAATAATGTTGAGCTCTTTATTATAACTCATATTTCTTCTTGCAGCATCTTGATCTCACGATAAGATAACAGTGACCTGCTTTGCTGGGAAATAACTCATCACCCAAAGGGTAACAGCATGATGTTACCTCTTTCTATCTCTATGATAATGCTAATAGAGATATCGTCAGGTTAGTTAGTTCAACTCATCCTGTTCTCATATGTTTTAATGTTATTACAATAATATGAGAAATGATAACTTCTACGTGTAACTCCAGAACTGTATAATTTAACAATGGTAGATATTAATGATGATTATCAAACGAATTCTTTCTTTTCAGGCTGTCAGACTATTACCAACACTCTAAAGGCGGCAAATATTAACTTCAATAAATACCATCTCAAAGTCACCTACGATGCAACTAAAGCCATAACACAAAGTCCTCAAGTCAAATTTCATCACAGGTCCGGCTTCGTAGGAATCCGGCTACCCACAACTAACACCAAAGAAATAAAGTGGGGGTATGATATGCCAGAAAACTTGAAAGAGCAAGACAAGACGCTAACGACATCAGATACGTGGACTTTCAAGATAGCCGATGACGGAACAGCAACTTTGATTTCCCCAGGCTCAGTCAACAGTTATACCTACTCCCTTACAGCCGTTCACTCTGACTTCAGAGGTGGGAGTCTGGAAGTAGGATTCTCTGACTTTGAGACTGGCGGAGTGTCCTGCTACGAGATTTACGACCCTATCCTCTTAAACCCAGTGAGTGTACAAATCATTTTTGGGAATACCAGCAAGAGTTTTGTCAACATCACTCTTCCCCTAATATAACTATAGATAAAAAGACAAAAATCAATTAAAAATAAAGCAAAGAGAGGAATGATAAAGTTATGCGAAAATATTTCTAATTCAAGTCCAAATTATAACTGCAACTGATTCGCTCATGAAAAAATAAGAGAGTTTTATCAATAATATCTAAAATTTTTAAGTTCTAAAACCCCAATGGCCGATACCCCCTATTCTAACCCAACCCCTTCATCACGAAAAGTTTGCAAATTTTTCAAAATTCCTTTTTAAAATCATTAAACACTACTTGAATTCATTCATTTTCTCATCATCCATTCATACTGCTTGTCATGAAAACTATCCGAGTGCAATCAGATTAAAAAACCGACTACTGACTGGACCACCTTTCCTTAAATCTAGATATCATATTTCCTGTCAGGGATGTTTGACTATCCGAGGATGTAACAATATTGACAGGGATTCCACTGTATTATATCTTTATGTCAAGGAGAAAAGGAGAAAAGGAGAAGTAAACCCTGGATACAATTAGACACCATGGAATTTACAGGAATTATTTTAGTATCTTCCGTACAACTTATGCTATGATAATATGTAATACATAAGTGAATGTATGCCATGTGATGAATTGTCACTTCAAGCAAGTAGTTATCTTCCATTACACCAAATGATGAATATCTATCCTATAATTTATATAATAATCAAGATCTAACGCAGTGATTTAACTCATCTTACTTTCAGTAAAAAGGATCGTCAAAAGAAGAAGAGAACTCTGCGTCAAGAACAGCTCTGGAATCAACATGTTTTACCAGATTTCTTAGCTCGCTTATTGAACAGACTTTCGAACAGAGACTATGTTATTTTAATAAGGTGCATGGCATTATATTAATGTTGCTGTTAACTCAAACTATAAACATTTCATCGTTATTCTGGAGTTTATTTTGTCTTCTCTCGTTAAACTGATTCACAGTTATACAAAATATCAAGTCATCCCATATACAGTGGTCCTATGAACACGGTTACAGTGATTGGATTCACCCAGTGAACTGGGTTAGAATAGTGATTAGTGAGGCTAACCTCAATAAGCCTTCTGACAATAGTTCTTTATGTAAGTAACGAGGATGTTATGAGTTAATTATCATTGAACTCATCCAGAGGGTTTAAATCTGACTAATTATTCTTTCTGGTGGAATCTACAATTCTCACGGCTCCGTCCCAACCTGGTCACTTGGTCGCTTCTTGCCAGGTATCTGCGGCTCCAGCGTTATCCTATGCATAAAAGGTGCATCATATCAATTAGCTATGAGTTTGGAAACCTGGACGCGGGATAATTATAGTAGCTGGATAATTATAGTAGCTGGATAATTATAGTAGCGGGATAATTATAGTAGCTGTTACGTTATTATATGATCACATAACTACTTGAATATTTCACATAGATACCTACTTGAACATGTCAATGGTTAAACATAAAATCATCCCAATTATTCTGCCCATATCATCTGAGAAGACGTCCTGTTGTCTCACTTAACATGCCACCTCAAATTGTAGCTATCATTTCTTTTCGACTTGTATTGCTTCCGTACTGATATCTTTAAGTTCTACTAACACTTCTTTAGTAGAACTGCTGCAATTCTAAGTTATCACATCGGTAAAAACCTTGCCCGGTTGTTAGAGTGATGAATTATATGAAGATACTAGCTCTTCTATGCTTGGTTACCAAACCAGGTAGCTCAGCAGGTCAGTACACGACTTATTAATTATCAGCTTTGATCCATCAGCGTAACTGGCTACGGACTAGAACATAGAACTTTTTTCCTCTGATTTTTGATCAAGGACGAAAATATGTTTGACCACATTTTTTTGAATTCAATTTTTCGGAATCCTTTCATGAACAAATTTCAGATTGTGAAAGCATTGCTACCAAAACTGCTGTGATGGTTGATTTCTCACGATACTACCTAAAAGTTACTTATGATGCCTCAAAGCAAGGTCCATCCAACAAGAATCCTCAAGTCCACTTCAAAGTCTTTAACGATGATAATTCCAGTAAAATATTAGGCATTAGACTGCCTACTGACGAAGTTGGAGAAATAAAATGGTCATGGGAAACGGAGTCGCTAGATGAACCTGACCAAGACATGCAAGGAAAAACAACATGGACTATTGAGATTGGGGATGATGGACTGGCAACGTTGACCTCCACTGGTGGTGGTCAATACCACAGAAACTTGAAACAATATACTCCAGAAATTAAAGGAGGAAGTTTGGAGGTAACATTTCCTGACTTTATGACTGATGGTGTTTCCTGCTACCAAATTATTGACCCCACCTCTTTAACCCCCAGTAAGTCAGAACACAAAATCTTTTCAGTTCATTTATAAATTAAACCTTTTAAGTTTAAAGAAAAGTAAATTATTAAATTATTCAGTTAACATTCTACAACTATAACGGGACTATAACCGCCCATCTGACAGAGAACATTGCAGCAATCATCATTTCGGAGACACAAATCACAGCAGTAAAATACCAAGCAATCACTCTCACTTGCACCACGACAGTGAAACAAGATACAACCTCCATCTCTTGGCACAGAGCCACGGATGTGGGGCCACAGGATATTACTAACCATGCGACAGTTAGGAACGTTACACACACTGAGGACCAGACAGTCACTATAACAAGTACTCTAACTGTTAATGCAGTAGAGGATGCTACTTATACTTGCTCCCTTTCTGATGACGTAGAGGTTTCTGCTGTTGCCTCTCTTAGCGTAATCCGTAAGTTTCTTATGTCAAACCTTACTAGAAAATAATATAGCCCCTGCCTAGTATAGTGCCTAACTTCAAAACTTTGAATAGAATTTTTAAAACAAACTATCAGCCAATCGAAATCTTCCCATCATCATCAGCTGCTACTACTCACAATATTCGCTAAATGATGCTGTTTCTTTGCGGAGAAAGTTTTTATAAAACCAGTTTTTCTTAACAAAGATATCAAATTTAAGACTCGATTCGTGAATTCATGATTTTAGGGTTCAGCTCAATTAACTTCAGCACCCAGAAAAAGACAAAGATGTAGGTAATAGGTAATAATAGGTATTCTACGGTAGGATGGCATGGCTGTACCATAGTCATTTTCCATGTTATCTTATTTCTCCTTATCTCCAAACTTCCGTCAATTTCCAATTGCGTGATTTAATATTTACATTTTACATCTATGTTAGTTTTTAGAATTAACAATCGACTATTTCAGGTTATAAAAGCTGGCAGGACACGTATACACGTATATATCAGCTAAAGATAATTCACCCACCTCATTATTTCGTCAATGAACAACGAAAATCAAACCATATAATATAAGTTATGACACTGTATTGTGAACAATATCCTCTCATTTGAAATACACGATAAAAGTTAAATGTATTTTTATCATTTTACAGAGCCAGTTTTTTGAAATTTTATTTTTAATATGTCTATATATATAATATATAACTGTTCAATTAATCAATGGTATACTTACGTGAGAGTATCAAAACAGGCAGTAAGTTTACTGTCAATACACTTCGTCAGATCATATTCCATTTCATCGTCACTACCAGGTATTTCCCACCCGTCACGTGTCCATACCTCTTCAGTCATTGCCATCACTACTGAAATAGATCAACTTCCTCAAATAGTGAAAATATAATTATCTTATGAATGGTTCAAAACTTACTACAAGCTTAATAATTGTACATGTGGTAATTGTTCTTTCTGGGTGTATATTATGCATATGTACTTTTTTAGCCTTCCACTCTTAAAACAATAAATGATGTTAACTTTTAAAGGACAGTATGCGTTACAAGCATCAACTTTCAGGTAAGTTGAACAATCAATTTGAAAAGCAATTAAACGACGGGTTTTTATTATAATGATGCATATTTTACATGCAAAGAATCAAAAATACGTAAAGTAACTGAAAACTTTAATATTTAAAGTAAAAACTAAAAGTGCTAAAATTAAATACAGTTAAGTATTATCGAAGAATCAAGTTTCAAATCACAAAATAGTTTCAATGATTTTATTAATTTCAAAAAATAATAAGAATTCTAGAATAAGAAATATACGTTTGGGAGACACTTGATGGTCTTTTCAATGCAACTATTGAAACATTAGCAATAATTTATTTGATAAAAATAAACTACACTAGCAATCATCTGCAAATTATCACAGTCAACTATTAAAACATTAGCAATAATTTATTTGATAAAAATCAACTATTAAGCTATTATATATACCCTTCTATATAATAGTACTTAAATATACTTCTCGAAATCATAACTCAGTGAAGATTGTCAACCGTTTGATCTCAGAACATTCTGCATGGCTGAAATATCAGAAATCTAATGTCCAACTATTGTTTTCTGAAGAGGAAAAAATTAACCTACGACCAGAACTCTTAAAAAGATAAGAGTATTAATTATCATCTAAATGCCATATTAATTTTTAATCACTTTCAGAACTATCATAATACACAATAGGAGTGATGTACCCAGCCAAAGCAATAGACTCCTTCCACTCAATATGGTTTTCAAACTGAGATAGATAAATCGGTTTGCCAGCCCAAGAAACATAAAGATTATAGCTATCACCTGACCTGAATTCTCTTCTTAAAACAAAATGCATATTATTAGAAGACATAACTTCAGAATGAAAATGAATATCTTCATTGTAATCTTCAACATCTGTGCTTAATCCTATATCAAAATCATCAGAACCTCTACCATGAATTGGGGTAACAGCAATAACAAAACCACACTGTTTTGGATTTGGGCAGGATTTGATTTTTTGATGCTTCCAGTAAAACTTGTAAATACGTCTACATTCTTCTTTGCTTCCTGATAAGAATTCACCCATCCTTATGATGTCTGGGTGCACAACCCTCCGATTACCACGGTTAACATTAAATCCTCTTTGGCATGTGATTTCAACACTGTCAGTTTCATTCACCAATTCGGAGCATTCCTTCAAGAGAAGTTGGAAACACGAAGTTGGGTTAGGACGAGTATTATTGGGCGTACACAAGTCATCAGAAAAATCAGAACTGGTGCTGACTGGATAACAACCTATTATGTCGATAAACTTTGGAGAAACACAGCCCCATCCACGATTGGTTTTAATATCTTAATATAGATGAGTCTTGCAACGATTGATTGAAGATATGATTTTGTTGGTTTAAATTCAAGGTAACATTTACATTGGGAAAATGAGACTGAAGTGTAGACTGAATGCTTGCAGCTAAAGTCAAAGATCAACTCAAGGAGCATATACAGACTTTTAATCTGAAGAGAGTTCAAACCAGCATCCAAAATATCGTTCAATGAGAGGAATTCTTGGCGATAACCATTTGAACATGGCTTTATATTAAGGGCTTGGTGGGAGTGGAAAAGATTTGGGATGCGTGTTAAATCACGAAGCTTGTCAGTGAGATTTCCGCCACTAATCAGACTTTTTAATCTGTCAGCATAACTAATGTAATCATCCAGTATACATGTATTTGCTGTGGTTGTGAGATTAGCTGGATTTTTTTGGACTGGAATGGGGACTTCATGGTTAATAAACGATTTCACTTTTGACAAAACAGTAGGTTTTCTCTCCACAACCCTCTTGGTGGCTTCAACTCCTAACCCAACAATGTCATTTAAATCTTTGTGACCTTTTAGTGACCTGTTATTCAGTGTTGTGCCAAAGAATTCATTGAAACCGTCCATATCATACTCCAGGCAATTCTCCAGGTTGACATTTTTGAGAATGTGAACTGAGTTGTCATCAAGGTGATACCCTTGTCTGACGACATTTTCCTGAATAATCTTTAACAGGATACCATCGCTGCCTTCAGCAAGCTCTAGCAAAGCATTCAATTGATCGACTGATAGATAGAGGTACTTCATGGCATATTTCTGAATGAACTGTCGTTTCTTAACTACTTTCATAGTCGAAACTTTTTCATTCACTTTCAACTTGTATTTTTTTCTTGATCGTCTAGGGGCACAAGATGCCTCATCAAAAGAGAACTTCAAAATTTTGAATAATTCAACGTCCTCCATGTCATCAAATGAAATAGAATCTGCCACCTCCATGTAGAATCTATCACAACGTTCAATTAACCAATCGACTGAAAACTTGTCAGCAAGTTCGCATAGCTCCCGAAAAGAATCATGATCAACGTTTAACTTCCCAGAGTACAAGCACTTGACAAAGTTATCAACCCTGCTTTTAGTGAAGCTGGAAACATCAACTGAAGTTTGCAATCTCTTGAAAAATATGTCATAAAACACTAGGCTGTTATAAGACAGAATAAGAGAATTAGCTCCAACAACTTCATTGTTAGACACCAGCAGCTTAATGTTATTGTGAACTGGGCATTGTAAGTTTTCTACTCCAAAATCCATTGGAACTTTGACTTTGTTCATGATTGTAGATGTCTGCAGCTTGTCTAAATGATTTGTGCGTTCTTGTGTCTCATTGTAGTACTTTACTTTATACTATGTCCCAACTCACTACAAATCCATCTCTTTCAAGTCAGCTCCATTAGTCTTGCTAGTAAATGTTTTCGAAATTATAAGATTTACTAGAATAGGCTAAACAAGAAAAAAGTTGAACCGTAATGAAAGTTTGAAAGCACCCTCCTCAAGTTAAGTAATTTTTGGCTACATTGGCAACCAGATAAATTGTGCATCGCAAAAACAGAAGTCAAATATTCCTATGCTCATCCTCTAAATTCCTAAAATTTCGCAAATAATAAAGGAAATTGTAATAATATTATGACGAATGTCTTTTTTCATGCTAAAAATCTACTGAGTTATTAGTAAAATAACTGCAGACCTTTGCTAAATAAGAACACAACCCGATAACGGAATAAAAAGTACTGACAAGTAAATAGATTTAGTCTATATCAATCATATTACATAGTATCTAATTTCAAATCATGAAATAACTTCTAAAATATCCATAACTTTGTAAATTTGTATAATAACTACGAATACTACAATAGGAATCAGGTTAAGATATAGTTAAAATAATTGGTGTCAAGCGTCTCATGTACCCCATTTTCACAGCACCAACGTTAATGTGTCTCCTGAGTCCCGAGTCCTGCTATTAATTCAGCCGAATTAATTTTTATATTATATTCAAGTTTATTCGCAGTGCAGCTTTAGTTAGGAAGGTTAATGAGTCTTGAAAAAACAACTGCTGATATTTATTCATAAGAAGCTGGGCAAGGTGTTGATCATGAATTGCAACCTAGACTTTACATCATGATGTCAGGTTGATCTCTCACAATATTTTCTACAATATTTTCCGTGTGTTATAATAATGTGTCTTTCTTGCTTCTTTTAGGAGAATGATAGTATTAAGTTTTTTCATCAGGATAATATTTTGTCAGGGTAACATTGTCAACCCTAATCACTGAAGATATAGCGACGCATAAAACCTACCTGTCCTCTGTTTCTATTCCAGAATTCAAGTGATGCATTTGGTGGGAGGTATGAGGATACATCATAATAAACCACCACTGCAATGTATTCAGATAAGGAAATAGATGAATCACTCCACATAATTTCGAGTGTGGATTCATCTTCAGCTTCAGGAGTATCCAACACGGGTTTATCTGCCCATGAAATGTAAATCAGTTCACTTTGCCCATCAACCAAGTATCTTCTTACAGCCACATGCATATTTTCTGTTTTCATAATCTCTGGATGATAATGTATGTCAGTGCCATAATAGTCATTTTTATCTGTACAGATCTCCATGTTTAATGCATCTTCATTATTTAATCCCTTCTTTTTTAGTGTGACTCGAACAATGAACCCACATTCAGATGGATTAGAACAGGACATAACACCAGGATGTTTCCAATAGAATTTGTAATCCCGTTTAGCAGGACCTTCCTCACTTAGAGAAACAAATTCTTCCATTCTAATTCCTTTAAGTTTGGTGCTGGAAATATCATCTTGGGAGGTGGACCCATGTGTGGAAACCTTCTCACTATTACTCACAATTTCTGCAATACCATTTTCATTGTCTACAAGATCAGCGCATTCTTGAATCATATGCCGGAGACCTTTAAGGGCAGTGGCGTTATCTTCAATCTTATCACAATCAAAGTTTTCTATCACCCAGTTTTGAACAAAACTAGAATGCACTTTGTCCCAGGAGCGACAATACTTTAGATCAACCAATTCATTAACTATTTCACTCAGCTCTGATTTACAAGTCATTCCTGAGAATGATAGTTCACAATATTCGAATTGAAATAGCTCTAACACCATGTACATATTTTTGAATTCCTTAGAGGAAAAAGCTAAATCAACTAACTCTTTAACATGTACTTTGTATGGTCCAAGATAAGATAAACTGTTGCTTAGTATATCCATGGAATGAAACAAATTAATTATATTGGTTGGATTAAGATTCTTGGTCAGCTTGACTTCCTCATTCAAATCATTATAAGTAATATCTTTCTCACTTGATTTCCAACTCCTATGGCCATGGTTTAATACCGATTCAAGGCAAAAATGTAAGTGAGGTTTTCTTACAACAAATCTTTTTGCAGCTTTAACACTCAGGTCAATGATTTTCATTTGCCCTTGGCCCTTTGTTTTCT